GTAAATGTTTTTACATTACAGCATTATTAGAATCTATAATTCAATATTGATAAATCTGATTTGGTCAGTCTTTCTATATCTCTCACGCAGATACTCTATACCTACCCATCTGTACTACCTCTCCAATCAAAGCCACAGACTCCAATACGATGAATGATTTGGTCAGTCTTTCTATATCTCTCACGCAGATACTCTATACCTACCCATCTGTACTACCTCTCCAATCAAAGCCACAGACTCCAATACGATGAATGACATAAATAGCTACAACTACAGACATTAAACATTGAATATATGATTTGGCTAACTCTACAACACAGGCTAAATAAATAACCAGTGAATATTGGCTAATGTTACAACATAGGCTAAATGAATTATAGCCATGGTAAGTTGGCTAATGATAAAACACGGGCTAGGTGAATTGATACAACTTGGGCTGTGAATAGCCACAATAAGTTGGTTAATGATACAACATGGGCTAGGTAAATTGATACAACTTGGGCTATGTGAATTGACAATAAACTGGCTATGGTACAACATGAGCTAGATGAATCATAGCCATGACAACTTGGCTAATGATATAATGAAGGCTAAGATCAACAGTTAAAACACACCAGATCCTAGTAACATACTTCATGCTTCTAATGCTCAAATTTTCATCTGTATTTGACATTCAATTCAATCAGAAGGATACTGATAATTATAAGTATTTAACACCTAAATTCTTCAAGATATTAATGCAAAATGGCAAGACTTATGTCATTTACTTTAAATTGTCAGAACCAGATTAGAAAGATATATGACCTCAAAAATAGTATTCATGCAATAAATGCATTTTAGTTTTAAATAAAAATTCAAACTGATGAATATTTGATGTATGAAATATGTTTCTATGATATAAATATACATGTATCAAATAAGAATATACAAAGTTTATATGTAAAATAGGAGTGTAATACACCATTGCAGGAAAAAGAATTGTAAATCTGTGGTAACGTGTGGACCTACCATGTGGACCTACTATGTCTGTTAGTGGTAACGTGTGGACCTACCACATATATCTGAGGTAACATGTGGACCTACCATGTCTGTTTGTGATAACATGTGGAACTACCATGTCTGTTTGTGGTAACATGTGGACCTACCATGTCTGTTAGTGGTAATGTGTAGACCTACCACATATAACTGAGGTAACATGTGGACCTACCATGTCTGTTTGTGGTAACATGTGGACCTACCATGTCTGTTTGTGGTAACGTGTGGACCTACCACATATATCTGAGATTACATAGGGAACTACCATGTCTGTTTGTGGTAACATGTGGACCTACCATGTCTGTTTGTGGTAACATGTGGACCTACTATGTCTGTTTGTGGTAACATGTGGACCTACCATGTCTGTTTGTGGTAACGTGTGGACCTACCACATATATCTGAGGTTACATGGGGAACTACCATGTCTGTCTCTGGTAACATGTGGACCTACCATGTGGACCTACCATGTCTGTTTGTGGTAACATGTGGACCTACCATGTCTGTTTGTGGTAACATGTGGACCTACCATGTCTGTTTGTGGTAACATGTGGACCTACCATGTCTGTTTGTGGTAACGTGTGGACCTACTCTGGTAGTGGTAATATGTGTAAGTGTATATAAAGTACTATACATGTATATGTATATAATGTATCTTTAAGGGTGAAAAATAGGCACACATTGTTCTATGTACATGAGTGTAGGTGAAGTGGTGAAGTGTCTGTGTCAGGTAGATTTACATATGATTATCATACACTGTATTTCAAACATGTGTTTGTACAGAGTATGTATTGATATGAGAATGTATAAACAGTGTACAATGTATATGTAAATGAATGCTTGTACAGTATATTATAAAGAAAGTTCCATACATATGTGTTGGTTATATATATTTCAGCAGTTACAGCATCTGGAGCAGTTTGCATCCAGTTGTCATGGTTACAAATTATATACAATGTCCTAATGTTACTTTATTATTAAAAATTCCAAAATCAAAATTTCCTGAAATCATATATATATATATATATATGTACATGTTTTTGATAGTCCACAGTCCCCGCCCCACCTCCCTCTCCCCACCCACCACCCCTCCCCCCCGCCCCACCCCAAAAAAAAAAAAAAAATAAAGTTGTATTCAACCAACTTGGTATATATGTTAAAATATTTAATCTTTCCAAAAGTCCTAATTCATTCTATTAAAACAAAACCTGGTCTTAATTTCAAATGTGGACATTATTTTGTATAATCACAGTCATAGAAATTAATCACATCCTGCGTATCAGTATAACCAAAATATCACCATATCAGTTGTACCATTGAGAAATAGTAACATGTGTTCAAATTGGATGGAATCATTGTATAATAAACACATCACAAAATATTTTTCTGTAAAAAGTTGGCTCGGATTTCTGTATGGCAGCATAGTAATTGTAACTTCAAAAAAAAATCTAAAATTATTACACCTCTAATACAAATGTATTAATAAGCATCAGAGAAAATATATCATTTTCCTCTGATTAAAAACAACAAGTTCTCAATGATCCAACCCCTAAAAAAAATATCATAATTCAAAATAGAGAAAGAAATAGCGAAAAAACCAATTTAAAGATACAGAAGAAAAAAATAGATCTTTGAAATATCAAAAAGATAATTACCTCTTCATTAAAAATCAAATCAAATTCTTATCTCAATTCTTAATAAAAAAAAAAAAAAAAACAGAAACAAAAACTTGTCTAAACCTTCAAAGTAGCGATAAATCAAAGTATCCTCCTGTGATCCAATGAAACCTTACATTGAATTAAAATTCCGTATTAATTTCCAATTTTAAGGAAAACCGAAAAACAAAATATTTCAGAAACTATATAATCATTATAGAGGAACAAAATGTAGTAGAGAGTCTATGGCAGCAAAGGTTTAGACAAGTTTTTGAAATAAAGAAAATGAAAAAATTATATCCAAAAAATTAAAGAAAAAAAAAAAAGAAATAGATAATGAATGAAATATGTTTCTGCCATAGACTTTTCCATTTTTGTTCACAGGAGGGTAGACAACTCTAGACAAAGGACAGCAATTATATTCTTTCAAATATTTAATATCTTTTCTAGCATTGATCTTAGAAAATGGGAGTGCATCTTTCACAAATCTTAAAATAAATCCAGTGATGATTTAAGATTGCATTGGTTTGGTTTAGATCTTCGGAATAATCCAAAATAATGTAATTTTCAGCTGTCTCTACACAATTTGTTCAATCTTAGTGCACTTATAATAGAACTCTTTGATTAAAACTCATTTGCAGTTTTAAATAAAAAAAACATTCAAATGAATTTTAACAGAAAAATGCAGCTGACACAAAAAGTGCCGAGCAAATCAAAGAGATGTAAAATTAATATAATATATACAAATGTATAGCAGCATAAGCCAGCCAGAAACAGGCCTTGTCAAATAATGTATAATTATCAAGTCTATAGATGTTCAAAGCTGCATTTCCTCACTGGTTAAAAGCATGACAAAGCTGATATACAATGTTAGTTTAAACCCAATTTGCCACAATTTTGCCAACAACTGGTTGAGTCTGGTCTCAGAAAGCTCAGCCAATCAAACTCAAGGTTTCAGTGATGTCAAGTTTTACTGGCTAAACAAGGTAAGCTTTAAGATAAGCTAGAGTCAAGTGGGTTGAGGTAAACTCAAGCACTGTCAGGGAAATTGTGGCAAAGAAGTTTCAGGAATGGACGGAATACAGACGAAAGTCTGTTGTCAAGATTAGTATGTCATTGCCATGGCAACACCAGAAAACAGCTCCTAGTCCCTCTATGTCAAACTACACCTCCATTTGTTCTTGGTCCTAATACCAAAATAGTTTTTGATGCTTTTAAAATTTTTAAGATTTTGGTTAATTTTCAAAACAAGGAAACAAACATCAAATACAAACTTAAAGAACACAAATTCAAAAATTTAGAATTAAAAAAAAAAAATATAAAAAAATAACGAGTAATGAAGAAATCTAACAAAAGAATTTAACAAGTGAGTGTCATATCAGAACTAGACACTGTTTCCTGCTGCCTGATATAAACAAGTAGATAATATTCTCTATATATAACAAATAAAAACAGACTTGCACCAACAGAAAACTTAACAACTGTGTATCACAGTCAAGCTATCAACAACAACCTCCACAATGTCTTATGTAGATATATAGGGTGTATCAGATCATAATGACCCTCATGTAAGATATAACATGTACAATGTGTATATTCATTTGTATTGATCATCACTTGGTTTTCCAACAGTCGTTACTGCTGACGTTGTCATATTATGCACATGTAAGACACTACATATATCATAACCTGAGTCTAACACTCGACTCAGAAAAAAAATCATAAATAATGGAAGAATCAAGTCACAAACTCGACTGACACTTTATCTAAAGGCCTGCATTTCTATGTCAAACAATAATTACAATATATAAAATGTATATAAAAAGTTGAATAACTTGGATCAACTAATATGATCCGGGTCATGAGAAGCTCAGAAATGGCAAATACATGTATAACATAAAAAGCATGGAAGAGATGCAGACTCTTTAGTCAAAAATAACAAGTCCTATAAACTTTACTCACACTCCAAGCTAGTCATCCATAAAAAAGCCTTGATGTTTGTCAAATAAACATCTCGTGTATATATATATCTATCTAGAGTCTTCACCTTCTGTAACAAGAAAATATGTATATGATGAAATGAATATGACCAATGGAATAACTAAATGAACTAGTAATTGCAATTCCATCTTGACTGTCAACAGACAGTCTGGAACTTGTCAAAGTCAAAGTTACAGGTGTATATCTGGCACCATGTAGGCCTGGGTAAGGGGTCGGCATTCTGAGAGATCAATCACAGTTGTCTCCCTTGGTGACAGGATGTCGCCTGCGTTGCTACCTCACATATCTCTGGTTTTCCTTCACAAAACAGGCTCAGCGTGATCTATTAAATCAAGAAAAATAACATCCAGATCAAAATCAATCAAAAAAATCACACCAATAGTTTTATAAATAGCAGAGGCAAGAATTCTACACCAAGATCAGAAATGAGAGACAAGAGTATTCAGAAGTTTACATGAACTTAACAGTTCACAAAAAATTGTACTTACCTGCTAAACCCATCTGTAGTGTTGGTGTAAGTAGTGTTTGGATGGAGTCTTGGCATAGTGTTGGGAAACTCTGCCTTGATGATAGCTGGGTACTGTTGGCAGTCAGTGTGTTGGACTGGCTCCTGTGGGGGAGGGGAATACTGGCAACTGCTGTGGGGAGAGTCAGGGTACATACAAGTAGAGGGGGGGCTGGGAGGATATTGGGCAGAGTGGACTGGGGAGCTGTGGAACTGTGGCCCACTGTAGTGTGGGGAGTTGGCTGGGGAACTCATGTACTGGGTAGTACTACCTGGAGATCCTGGGCAGAGGTTGGAGTTACTTGGGGAGGGACAATACTGGCTAGCACTGCCTGGGGAGTGAGGATAGATAGGACTATGGGAAGGAGAGTTCATCTGATATTGGGATGAATTGACTGGGGATTCTGAAAAATTTGGATTGTTTGGATATTGTACACTGGTGGAGGAGGGGTCATGGTATGATGGGGAGTTGTGGTCAGTACTTGTCTCCACAGGCAAGTGCTGTGGTGGCACTGGACATCCACTCCTATCCATTATACATGGGGAGCGTGCAGAGAAGTTGCTTGGGTAGTAGTTGAAGTTTGGATGGGGCTGTCTGGAGGTGGGACAGGGAGCTTTGTCCTGAGATTGGATGTTCTGCTCGGTCTGGAGGTAGTCCAGAATTTCATCCATTTCTTCCTCCATGAAGGAGAGGGCAGTGGGCTGCTGAGCTGCTGTCTGGGTTTGGCCCATGTTATTGGAAGTGATAGGTGTCACACTGGAGGTCTGAATGGAGGTGGAGGAGGTGGTAGAGCTATGCCAGCTATTGATGGAGGCTGAGCTGGACCAGCAAGAATTGGCCTGGCTACAGTGAGAGGTACGCAGAGTGTTACTGCCCATTGAGCAGTGGTCAGACATTGGGGTAAGTTGGGTATATAACAGATCTGTAGGCATAGGCATTCCCTTGGCCTCAGTCTGCTCACAGGTGGAGTCACTTGACTCAGTCTTGATCTTTTTGCTTGCCACCAGGAAACCAATGTAAGATGTATCATCCACAGACTTAGAGTCTGAGTCTGGCTGGGACATGGGTGAGCTTGCTCCACTGTCATAGGAGGAATGGGGTGACATTTCACTCAGGGAAGAGCGAGGGCTGTTGCTTTCCTCAGACAGATCTGAGAGGTCAGCTCCAGGAGAACAGGACAGAAGGCCGTCACTGTTGTCGGATTTCTTGGGACGACCCATCTTGATGGCTGCAACAATGATATCAGTATTGAATTCTTCTTTTCAAAAATGAGGTTTCTTAAGATTAAACTTCACCAGGGACATGCCCTTATATCCTTAGAGACCTGTACTGGGACAAATACAAATGTTCAAAGACAATAACAGAGGGCCACTTCAAAAGGCCCATTATCTGCCTGTCCCCCGAATTGAAATGCACTAAGAAACAATCATTTAAAATTTGAGATACATCAGCCCGACACCTTTGAGCTTGGAAAGCTATTCATCCAGACAATTTTTAGCATGAAATTGATTTCCTGAGACGTGAAACCACTGAACCCTCCAATCCACAAATCCCCTAACGACAAATTGTAGGTAAATTAGGCAATCCTTTAGATAAGACCAGTCATAAGTCTCAGTTTTGTTGTCATGAAAACCGGTTATTTTTATAGATATGTAAGCAATGATAAGACATTAATTTAACTTAAAACCAAAGTTTTGATAAAATCCAAGGAAAAGGTCAAGAGTTAATGGTAATGTTCTTGAAAGCCTGAGTAAAGTAAACAGTTGTCATGGAAACCAAATATTTTCAGATCTGACTCAGAATCAGACTACAATTAGACGAAATCAACGATATTTGGGTAAAGTATCATTTGGATCTGCCCTGCAGTTTCTAAGAAACTCTGTACAATTGAAAAAGCTGATGGAAAGACACACAGACGGTTGTACAATCAGATAGGACAGTGGATGATGTGATTATTCAAGAGCAATATTATTATACCCTGAATTCTGTCAAACCACTGTCCTGATAATTCTTCAATGTACATCACACAGACCATGTCACTGACCTTACGTTGTAGGAAATGTATATTCTGTAAAACAGACATGGAGGAAGATTTCAAGCAAGAGCTGCTACATGTACATTTGTATACAGTACAAGACAACAGGAGTCATAAAAATCACACTAATCACCTTCTCTGGACATTCCAACTGTGATACATTTCTGGTAGCGACAAAAGCGGCAGTTGTTGCGGTTCCGTGGATTGATGGTACATTTCTTATCTCCCTTGCATACATAGCTCTGGTTCTCAACCAAACCACGTCTGAAGAATTTCTACGAAAAAAAAAAGAAATTGTTTACTATTAAAGATTTGATTTTTAAACAAGAGACCAAAATAACTATTTATTTTCTCAGGAGTTTAAGGGGCTAATTAAAAGGATAAGAATCAGAGGATAAGGTGATGAAACTTAAATTCTAGTCAGAGGGATATACTGATCACTTCTATCATTATTTTCAAATTAACAAAATAAACCAGACTCGCTATCTATATTTTAGAACTGGACACATACCTTGCAACCTTCACAGGTGTTCACACCAAAGTGAATGCCATTGGCAATATCTCCACACACCTTACATAACACCTGGCCCTCAGCAGGCTGTACAGTCTCTGGTTTTTCTGTTATAACACAACAGTGAGAATTTCAATCACAAAGTATTATCCTAGTTACTCAGTAGTACTGGAAATCAAGCAAAATCTAAACATATATCCTTGGACCAAAGAAGAATTAGACCTTACTTGAAGACCCTTCAAAACAGCACCTTCTCGTTTTCACAAGAAATAAGCAGAGCACTGAAAGAATTAACAGTGCCTGTGCATTGAACTCACCTTTACGGCACATCCCAGCCATGAGGCATCGCTGGTAGCGACAGTACTGGCATCGAATGCGGCCCTGTTTGGCAATGTCACAGTTGCCATTGCACTGGCAGGTAAAGGTTGGCTCGCCCTCTTTGGTGCAGCGGATGTAAAAGCTCTGTGAACAAGCAAAAGTGCAGCTTATTAGCAGGGAATCAAATACCATTCAGACAAGAGATGTTTGCCCTGACTTTTGCTGGAAATTATATATATGTATATATATATTGATGACAACTACACATTGTTTTCATTAAGTTAATTTATTTCATAGTTATTTATGATGGTGAGTTTACATCAGGTGGCAACAAATCGTATTATGTTGTTGACTTCTCTAACCTGAAATTTACTGATTCAAACAAAGCATGACATGTACTTATATAAATGTCACAGCCATTTCTGGTTTATGTTGTATCGCAGCCTGGGCAATGTTGTAGTTGTAACAGTCATAGCTAAATACTTGTTTACATATGATTATGTTGTAATGATTACAGGCCAAATTCTTAAGGTGAACATAAATGGACCTGTGGTGCTATATAAAATCCAACAATTTACAGGCCATTCTTCATAAAGTATACCAACTACACATTAGAAGTGAACAATTGTACTGATGAGATTGGTCAGGTACTAAAAAAGACAGATCATGTGTTTGCATACTAATCAGGTGATGACAGTGTAAAACAAATAGTGCATTCATGTAATGGATGTGAAAAGTCACAGCTGTCTAAAAACATTGGAAGAACTCATGGAAACCCACACACATATGTACATGTAGCAGATGTGGATTGGGTGGATAGGGTGAAGATAAAGGAGAGAGGAATATAGTGAAACTGAACTGGGCCAATTGTTGGCCACCAGGTAGCTCAGTTGGTTGAGAACCTGTCTAGAATTCACAAGGTCCCAGGTTCAAACCCAGTCTGGCCGCAAAGTATCTACTCCTTTTGCATTTTTTACCAGACATAGGAGAATAGTACTTATACATTTTCACTCAAACTTTAAAACCTAATTACACTTGCAATGCAGAGAACTGTCTGTGAATATCACAGACACTGAACATTACAGTGGTGCTAACTTGCACCTAGACAATTTGTAAGAGATCTACCTGTGTGTAGATCCCAGTCAATACGGATCAATGTCACGGCTCTCCACACATAAATCAATCTGCTTTAGAAAGATTGTAATAATGAATATAAATAGCAATCCTAATGCCTTCCCCCCATGGTGTCAACACTGGTGTTAAGTATTATTGTAACCCATCAAGGGCAAATTCAGAAAAAAAAAAAGAAAGGATCATATAATTGCCTAGATTTGATAAACAACATGTTTACTATTTACACCAGAACTGCAGTCTGGGGATACCAATAGCTAGAGCAGACAAGTGTTGGAACATTCTTAGCTTATGAGTAACAGGTCTCCAGTCAAAGGCTTTACTGTCATGATCTAAGCTTGCTGTAGTATGGGGGGGGGCTCCTATGTTAAAAGAATGAGGTTAAATGTAGCATGTGAAAACTCCTAGCTATAACAGATATAGGTTTACTGCAGTGTGGGGAAACTCCTAGCTATAACAGATATAGGTTTACTGCAGTGTGGGGAAACTCCTAGCTATAACAGATATAGGTTTACTGCAGTGTGGGGAAACTCCTAGCTATAACAGATATAGGTTTACTGCAGTGTGGGGAAACTCCTAGCTATAACAGATATAGGTTTACTGCAGTGTGGGGAAACTCCTAGCTATAACAGATATAGGTTTACTGCAGTGTGGGGAAACTCCTAGCTATAACAGATATAGGTTTACTGCAGTGTGGGGAAACTCCTAGCTATAACAGATATAGGTTTACTGCAGTGTGGGGAAACTCCTAGCTATAATAGATATAGGTTTACTGCAGTGTGGGGAAACTCCTAGCTATAACAGATATAGGTTTACTGCAGTGTGGGGAAACTCCTAGTTACTGCATGTTAGGACAGCAGTAGATCTGTTGAAACTCCAGGCACATTAGACTGGCAGACGTAGCATACTGAGACCTCTCTAGATATAGGTATGAGTCAACATAGTTCATTAAGCTATTAGTGCTTCAATTAAAAAGAAACCGGATTGAACTTTTCTACACATCTGAGGTCTTTCACCTCTCTTGACATCATTATGTTTTCAGCAACCTTCACCTCAAGTAACAGTGTTTATGTTCAATCAATACCCACTAATCAATAAAGTAATTATACCCAGTAACAACCTTCAATCGGTTCACTTAATCCAGATCATTGTCACACTATGTATGCTTCTTTGATAGAAAAAATATTGATGTCACATCTTTATTATTATTTAGAAATCCTTTAAACATCTAGAACAGTTTAATTTTTGATAAAAACAAAGTCAGTTACATTGTAGAATTACATTCAGCTGATGAATTATAGTTTGATTAGCCAGACCACTCTAAAGCAGTCCAGAAGTGTGCCTAAAACCCACTCCAGAAATACAGAGAAACCAGTCAGTTCAAAAGTGTATGCCTAAAAACAGCAACTTATAAGTACTACAGAGAAACCAGCCTGTCTCAAAAATGGCAGCTCAGAATCGAAGCAAGTTCCTAAGTACAGTTTGCCGTTCTAGAAGTACACCTGAACCTTTCAGTTTAGTGGTTGATGTCTGTTTGGTGACTACAAGACCAACAGGAATCGTCCTCCTTTATTTCTTGGGTTTTCTCTTTGAAATTTGATTGTTGATAAGAGTTTATATATTGGTGTGGTTATGCCTTGTTGTTGCTCACACCTGAAGCCTGCAAGCATTCACAGAGATCTCCATGAGCCTTTAGAGTGCTAATGCTTTACCTATTTCCAATAGCCTGTACAAACCTAACAACTGGAACTGAAAAAAAAACCCAACAGTTTGTTCTATACCTGATCAAACGTCTGATCAATTTAATATGATAAAAATATTTGCAAACTCAATGTCTGGTTCACTGATTGAACACAAAAGCCAATAAGCTGAATGAAATTCTGTTAAGTGATTTTAATTCTACTGGGGAATTGTTAAAATCACCTCCATACAAATTATTATGGTTATAAAAACCCTCCAAGCCAGGCAATGGTTGAAAATCTTCTTGTTAATTATATCTAAACAAATGAGAATTATTTTAATGGGAACAAAACCTGCAATGCTACGGTATTGACTATGAGTTGTGACAGCATTATTCCTGAAGGCTCGGTCACCAATACACATCATAGCCAGCATGTTTACACATGCTTTTTTCAGCCATTTTTAATTTTTTAGTTGACATACACAGTCTGCGTTAACATGACAACATGAGCCTTCTGTTTTTATTCACACTGTGTAAATATATACATGGAAGTATGTGGGTGTTTATAGAGCTTACTCAAACAGCTATTGACGTTAATACACTAGAAACTAATTATTAAATTACAAATTTAAAATGACTGACAATTTCAATAGGACTATAACGTTTCACATAAAATATGCTTGTGTCACTTCCGAGAGTAATTCTATCTGTAGGAATAATGACTGATCAGTGATATGCAGGAAATCCATTTCATTTGAATAAAGCTGAGATTGAAAAGTAGATAAGTATGTCCTTGTATCCAAACAAACTTGTCCTTTACCTACAAAAGTGTTAATGTAGGTGTTCTTATTTTGTAAATTTGGAAGAGATTTATAGCTGACATTATCTCTTCTATACCTGGAGACACTAACAACTTTAAAAAACAAATTCCAAATCACCTAATTCTGCTGTTATATCACCATTAACCACCATGTTAGAACTCTTTCATCAATGATGATTATCTGTTATATTGGAAAATAATTCTTATCTAACCAATGTATATATAAAAGTACAAGGTAGAAAAACGACAGTGTCATCCTAGACCTATCCTGGCCTACACCTTACTCAAAACGACAGTGTCATCCTGGACCTATCCTGGCCTATACCTTACTCAAAACGACAGTGTCATCCTGGACCTATCCTGGCCTACACCTTACTCAAAACGACAGTGTCATCCTACACCTATCCTGGCCTACACCTTACTCAAAACGACAGTGTCATCCTGGACATATCCTGGCCTACACCTTACTCAAAACGACAGTGTCATTCTAGACCTATCCTGGCCTACACCTTACTCAAAACGACAGTGTCATCCTACACCTATCCTGGCCTAAACCTTACTCAAAACGACAGTGTCATCCTACACCTATCCTGGCCTACACCTTACTCAAAACGACAGTGTCATCCTACATCTATCCTGGCCTAAACCTTACTCAAAACGACAGTGTCATCCTACACCTATCCTGGCCTACATCTTACTCAAAACAACAGTGTCATCCTACACCTATCCTGGCCTACACCTTACTCAAAACAACAGTGTCATCCTACACCTATCCTGGCCTACACCTTACTCAAAACGACAGTGTCATCCTACACCTATCCTGGCCTACACCTTACTCAAAACGACAGTGTCATCCTACACCTATCCTGGCCTACACCTTACTCAAAACGACAGTGTCATCCTACACTTATCCTGGCCTACACCTTACTCAAAACGACAGTGTCATCCTACACCTATCCTGGCCTACACCTTACTCAAAACGACAATGTCATCCTAAAGCTATCCTGGCCTACACCTTACTCAAAACGACAGTGTCATCCTACACTTATCCTGGCCTACACCTTACTCAAAATGACAGTGTCATCCTACACCTATCCTGGCCTACACCTTACTCAAAACGACAGTGTCATCCTAAAGCTATCCTGGCCTACTCCTTACTCAAAACGACAGTGTCATCCTACATCTATCCTGGCCTACTCCTTACTCAAAACGACAGTGTCATCCTAAAGCTATCCTGGCCTACACCTTACTCAAAACGACAGTGTCATCCTAAAGCTATCCTGGCCTACACCTTACTCAAAACGACAGTGTCATCCTAAAGCTATCCTGGCCTACACCTTACTCAAAACGACAGTGTCATCCTAAAGCTATCCTGGCCTACACCTTACTCAAAATGACAGTGTCATCCTAAAGCAATCCTGGCCTACACCTTACTCAAAACAACAGTGTCATCCTAAAGCTTTCCTGGCCTACACCTTAACCAAGGTTCTTTCAGGTGTCTCAAATAACTTT